ATATCTAAATATGTAAAACTTAATAAGCAATTTTTTTTAAAAAAAGTCTGTGAAAGCCTCAGACATTTAAAACAACCAGTACAGTGGACCTTCGACTTACAGACACCTCGACTTACAGACTTTTTGAGTTACAGACTTCTCTGGCCACAAAATTTAGGTTCGACTTGCACCCGGAGAATCGACCTACAGACCAGAAAAAAACCCAAAATGGAACAAAAATGGAACAAAAATGGCCGGTTATGGGATTAATAGGTTTTCAATGCATTGTAGGTCAATGGAGACTCGACCTACAGACTTTTCGACCTGTAGCCACCATTCCAATACGGATTAATTCCATAAGTAGAGGGTCCACTGTAATGACATAGTATTTCTGTAACTCCTAAATGTTGTTCGACTAGATAGGCGGGGTATAAATGCAATCAATCAATCAATCAATCAATCAATCAATCAATCAATCAAAACAGAACAATGAAAATGGTAATTCTGTCAAAGTACTGAACACCTTCCCAGTAGCTTCTTAGAATTTAGGAGTGAGCTGGCTAAGCAGACCTTCTTAGGAAGGAAGTTCCAAAGATCAAGGCACTTCTCACCAAGACGTTCTTAAACTGGCCATGACCTGGACCACTCAGGGAGATCGAGAGGCCCAAGGTGGTGCATCAGAGCAGATCCGTGCAGGCCACTTAAGGCATGTTCTCTCATTGCCTTTTTAGCAATGTAATATTCACTGCCTGTCCTTAAGATACTGTATAGGTTGCATTCACATTGTGTTATAAGCTGAAATTCTAATTGGCTCTTAAGCAGGAGTGGGTAACCAAACCCTGTATCCTCATGATTTTTTAATTTTTTTTGGGGGGGGGTGATGTATGAACTGGGAATTAGAGTTTGCCTTTCTACAGCAAGCCAGAGACATAAATCAAGTACAAACCATGACTAGGGCTTTGTTTTTTGTTTTTTTTTAACAAACCCAAGTTCCTGGTTCACACAGCAGAATATGCAAGTCACTGATAGAAAGCCCTCTGCTTGCATAACCACCCCATGAGAAATGGGAGTCATTGGGTTAGAGGGAGTCATTCCCTCTAAAGCATTCTGGCTTTTGGTCCCTTGAGGAAACACTTTGCTGAATGTTACAGACCCTAAGAAGTACAGTTGCTTCCTCCCTTCAGTGAAATTTATGACAGGTGTATAAATATCAAAAAAATAAATTGGCAGACTTTGATATTTTTAAGGCAGGTTCCAAACTTCAAAAGCTCAGAAGGGTCGAGAGAGCTTGCTCTACCCTGTGCAAAATTTCAGACCTAATACAGAATGTGAGCATAGCCTTATGGGCATCTGCCGTATAGGATTTTGTATGGAAACTGTGCAAGAGGAGTTCACATTTTCATTCCTAAAAAAACCTCTACACCTGTGTTCTAAGAAGCCTGTTTTGGCTATTAAATAGGACAGAGGGGGAAGGGCTGGAGAAACAAGGAAAACAAGAGATAAAAATGGGAGTCAGTGCAGTTAAACCTGCTGAGGCTTGATTGTGACCGGGAAGGACAATTAAGGAGTTAAGGCAAAGGTTTTGCAGAAAGAAAGAAAGAAAGCTTTTTCAGGAGGTGTGTGCGTGAGAGAGAGAGAGAAAGAGGGGGGGTTTGATAATACAATCAGGAGGCTACCATCCTGTAGGACTGCTGTGCAGAATGCAGAATTAAGAAAGTGCCCCAAACTTTTCCCATCTGCAATTGAGGCAAGCCTTTCTTGGTGCTTGGACCTCCATGCTTCCCCACTGGGAGCGTTGCCGTGAGGTGGTCAGTGCACCCTGTGCGAATTCTGTCCTGCTGCCTCCGTCTGGCTCAGAAACGTTTCTGCCAGCCTGTGTGGCTGCTGTGAGGATGGAATTCCTTTTGTCAGAGCAGACTTTGCCAAGGCCTCCCCTGCCCCAGCCCAGCCCTTCTCCATTTCATTGATTCGGCGTGTTTGGTTGATTAGCAATCAGAACAGCTGAGTCACTGCCAACTCCCACTTACTTGATGGCGTGAGGAGCTGGGCTGATGGGGCATGACTCGGCAGGTTTGCAGGTGAGTCTCTTTGCACCAATGGCAAGGCAGGGGCTGCCACACACACACACACACCCCTGAAGCAAATGCTGGGTGCCGAGGCTCTTCCCAGTGGCACCACCAGGCACAGAAAGGATTTCATGAAAGGGAAGACAGACGGGTTGGCGTTGGGGAGGAGCTGTGCCACAAAGCGAGGGCCCAAGTCAGCTGAGTAAGCTGACATGAACAAAGGAGCAGAATATAGATGGAATGCTGGGACTGAGTGAAATAGCCTGTGTTTTTTTTACCCTTAGTTCTGTTTATGCAAAGTATGGCGAAACCTTCGTGACAGGGGTGGCCGTCAGTGAGAGAACAGCAGGGATTGGCTTCCATTTCATCACCCCCAGTGCTTCCCATTTCAAAAGAGGTGATCTAAGGAAGTTTGTCATGTGGGAACACAGCGCCAACTGCGGTGCTAAGAAAGGAATAACCCTACTTTTCCAGGGCATGGGGAAGCAGGGAATCTGTACCTCTGCCCTCCTGTTGGGAGCAGCAAGACACGGCCTCAAGGGATTTAAGTAGATTGGATTTATCACCATTGATATATTCATGGGAATTAATCCATTACTGCCAGTGCGTACATCTATTCCTATGCTTCAGTTAGATAACTGCTGTGCAGGTCAGTGGTTTAGGAAGGAGCCAGGGATTGTGGGTTCGGTTCCCCCACTGTGCCTTCTTGACAGGGGCTGGATTAGATGATCCTTAGGGTTCCTTCCAGCTCTGCAGTTCTAACATTATTATTAATAGTAAATAATTGGGGGCTATCTAGGGTGTGTGAACAGTGGAACTTTACTCTGTCGCATCCCTAACAAATCCTAGCATGGATCAAAAGGACAGGCTGGGGATAGAGACTGGCGTTAGGACGTTCCTGTCCTGGCCCCCTCTCCCCTTCTTCCATGCCCACAGATGCCACAACTCCACCTTTGCATCTTCTGCATCTTCCTTTCCAGTAACAGATGGCTCCCCTCCCCTCTTTTTCCTGATATTTACAGGGCGACCTAGCCAAGAAGAAAATCTATCCCACCATCTGGTAAGTCTTATTTGCTTGAAGAGAGGTTCCCCTTCCCTGCTGCCATTCCCACATGCTTCCTGTCCCTTCATTGTGACCCCCTACGATCTGTGCAGGTGGCTCTACCGTGACGGGCTGCTTCCGGACGAGACCTATGTGGTGGGTTATGCCCGGTCCCAGCTTACGGTAGCTGATATCCGCAAACAGAGCCAACCCTACCTCAAGGTGAGGATTTCTCCTCTTCACTCCCTTCCTCCTCCTGTCCTCAGCCATCCTGGGACTTCACTCATGCTTTTGGGTTTATCGCATTGCCACAGGGAGAGACCACAAAGGGGTTGATTCTGTCATCCTCATTGACAGTGACAGAAGGCTGCTCTCTTGGGCAACATCTGGAGGGAAGGGGACATAAGCTTAGGGTGTCAAGCCTGGGGAAGAAAACAGAGCTGTTTCCCCCTGTCCAGGATAGCAGTTCTTCATACCTTTTCAGGTTGCTCCTGAAGAAGAACAGAAACTGAATGATTTCTTTGCTCGCAACTCCTACGTCTCAGGAAAGTATGATGACCGGGCCTCCTTTGAACGGCTCAATGCTCACCTCAATGCACTCCACAACGGCGAGAAGGCGAACCGCCTCTTCTACCTGGCCCTGCCACCCAGCGTCTATGAGCATGTCACAGCCAACATCCGGCATACTTGCATGAGCAATATGTAAGATCTGGGGGCCTCTGAACAAATGATGCTGCATAGTAGAATGAGTGGAGGGGTGGTGGTGGAAGGTCCCTGTGTGCCTAAGAATACGGAAAGCTCCATCAGCTTGTTAAAGGCAGATTTCCTGTACAAATTGCACAGGTATGGATTGTGCTATTCGTTATGAAACCCCATTTCCCAGCAATCTTTGTCTTGGCTTTAACTTTCATGTCTGGTGCAGGAAGTAGGGATGATTTGCCCCTTTCGTTAAAAACATACTGGCAATGTCTGGCAGCCTTGGGAGCCAAGCAAGACACTTACTGCAACCATGGTATAGGATTTCAGTGCTCTGCGAAACACTGACACTTTCCTAAAGCTAGCAAAAACAGCATCATTGTGCAGTAAAGTGCATTAAGGGAATTCTGCTTGAGTTGCAATCACTTTTTGTGGGCATGCTTGTACAAGAGGCAGGGTGTGTGGTGCTTTAATTAGGAAAGGATCCTGGGCTCCACTGGCTTTGTCTCCAATTGCCTGTAATATAGCAGGTAAAATGTTGACTTTTCTTCTCCCACCTCCACCCCCCCAACCTTTTCTCCTCCTTTCTCTCTCAACCACCAGCGGCTGGAATCGTGTCATTGTGGAAAAGCCATTTGGCAAAGACCTGGAAAGCTCCAACAAGCTGTCCAATCACATCTCATCACTTTTTAGAGAAGACCAGATCTACCGCATTGATCACTACCTGGGCAAGGAGATGGTGCAGAACCTGATGATCCTCAGGTAAAGTAGGGGCTTGAGATGCGGAGCCCGTGGGTGATTTGAGGCCTGAGCCAGTCTCTATCTGCGCACCAGTGCTCTCCTTTGGTTCGCTCCCCAGCTGATGCCTTAAAGCTTGCGGTTCAAAAGCACCTCTTGACTACCCACAAACTGTCTTTTTATCTGGATGCCAGGCAAGGTGTGGGGTTTCAATAGCAGGGAAGTTCAGCCAGTAAAAACAGGAGTCTTTTATTCTGCCATCCATCTGGGGCATTTCTTTCCCTGCAGCCGCTGACTCGAGCCCTCGCTTGCTTTCCCTGCAGGTTTGGAAACCGGATCTTCAGTCCCATCTGGAATCGCGACAACGTGGCCTGTGTCATTCTGACCTTCAAAGAGCCCTTTGGCACAGAGGGACGGGGTGGCTACTTCGATGAGTTTGGCATTATCCGGTAAGCGGGTGGCTATGATGGGAGATGTTTTTCTTGGTCTGTTTGTGATAGGTGTGCAGACCTTGGACTCCGCGTAGTGAATAACAGGCATGATATTCAGACGCCATGGAGATAAGATTCAGTCAACCACAGAAAAAGTGGTAAACCTGTGTCTGAAACGTGACATTAGGCATGTGCTGTTTCTATTTTTTTGAACTTCCACCTCCCCAAATTCTCCAAGAATTTGTGATACAGAATTCTGGGAGTTGCAACCCAGAGACCCATACCTACAGACACCCAAGATTTTGTTCACCTGAATTGTGCCCTATCCCCAGCCTTGCTTCCTCTTGTAAATGTACAAAAAAAAAAAGGAGGCTGCTGCAATCCTTCCTAAGTGCCATAACGTTCCTGCCCTTTTGGGCTCTGTAAAGGGAACCTTCCACAGAATTGTGCTACCTAGGAAGAATTGCAACAAGTCCCCCCCCCTTTTTGCAAATTATCAACAGGAAGTCAGGCTGGAGCTGGGCCATGTGGCCTCAGAACGCAGTCCTGGTCCAGGTGAGTGAAATGAGGAGATCTGTAGGTGATGATCTGTGGGTTAGAACTCTCAGAATGCTGTCTGGGAAATTCTTGGAGAATTCTGGGAAATGGAGTAAAAAAAACAACAACAGATGACAGATCCCTACATGACAACTGAGATTAGAGCCTTGTGGCGCAGTGGTTCAACTGTTGTACTGCAGCCAAAACTGTGTTCACAACCCAGGGTTGAATCCCATGTAGCCGGCTTGTGGTTCATTCAGCCTTCCATCCTTCTGACATCAGTAAAATGAGTACTCAGTTTGCTGGCTGAATGTTTCTTCATGGCAGAAAAAAAAATCTTGCACATAGCAAAGTAGCATGTTAGGGGTGAAAGTTTCTGTCTGGCCTGGCCTTCCTTCTGACCTACTAGTTTTTGATTTGTTGGATCTTTGAAACTGAGTGAGAGAAACAGATGTAAAAATAGATGGAAAGGAAGAAGAGGCAGAGGTTTAGAGCCATTGTAGAGGAGGTACCTGATATCTCCTATGCCATGCAATTGATGCTTTAATGCAAATCCTCTCCACTTTATTTCGGATAAGGTCTGCTGGGGGGGGGGGGAGAGAAATAAATAACAACACCTAACTTGAAGCAGATGGGCATCTGCCTCTTCATTTCCCCTGCCTAACTCCTATATTATCTTGGGAACCCCACATTTGTGAAAGTAATCTGGAATTCCCAAGAAGTGGAATTCTCTATCTGATCCCATCTTCTAGTCTCTGCATGCTGCCCCACTTGCTACATCCCCACACCCATGCCCTGGAGTCCCAGGCTTACCTGGAGGCAGCCAGTGGTCGTTCCCAAGGCTTATTGTCCAAACGCCTTTCCCTGATGCTCCTGGAAATTTCCAGGACCAGTTGAGGCGTTTTCTTGCCAGACCTGTATTGCACACGTGCAAGAAAATACGGCATGTATAACTAGGGCATTGCTGGCTGCCAGGAACAGGAAGCATACATGACAGGTGATAGCTTGAGGGCTATAGTTAAAATCATGGGACGGTTATGGCATATAATCTGACTGTTTCCAATAATACTGATTCTTTCTACCACCTCCACAGAGATGTAATGCAGAATCATCTCCTCCAGATGCTCTGCCTTGTAGCCATGGAGAAACCAGCCTCTACAGACTCCGATGATGTCCGCGATGAAAAGGTAGGAACAGGTTTGTGTTAATAAGCAGAGTGTCTCGCTGAGAACTAGCATTTGAACCCAGCCCTTGTGATCTTAAGTGAAGTCTATCCAACATCTGTCTATCCAATGTCTGTCTCTGAGTGAGTTAGCATTTGTACACCACTGTTCTCTAGCTGTAATGTGGCAGTGATTTATTTGGTGTGCAGAACTGCTGTTACCCACTACTTGCCTTAGGGAGTCAGGGTCTCTCTCTCTCCCAAATAGAAAGAAAAAAGATATTGGGCATAGTGACCAAGCCCCATACCTGCCTGTACCAAGCCAGTTCTTTTTGGGAACAGTGCTTCTTTCTTTTCCCTGTCTCCTTATGAGTGTCTTCAGCCAAAATGAATTGGGTGGGAAATATGGGAGCAGTCCAGATGTTGTGTGGAGTCCAAGTCCATCCATCATGGCTAATGAGCAAACAATGATGGGAACTTTGAAATCGAATAGCATCTGGAGTTAGGAAGAACCACTTTCAGAACACGGCCAAGAAGCCCGAAAAACCCACAACAACCAAATGATGGGAACTCTGAAATCTAATAGCATCTGGAGGGCTGTCCTTCACTCTTGCTCTAAATGGTTATTTCCTCTAGTAGACGTTTTATTGCGTAAGTACACTGCCAGATCTCCTGTATGGCGAATTAGTGTAGTGAAAGAGCCCCAGGGGGGACCACAGCTGCGATACAAGGATATCTGCAAGCAGGATCTGAAGGCCTTAGGAATGGAGCTCAACAGATGGGAAACCTTGACATCTGAGTGTTCAGCCTGGAGGCAGGTGGTGCATCATGGCCTCTCCCATTTTGAAGTGATGCTTGTACAACAGGCCAAGGCAGTCCCGAAACTAGCAAAATCAGGGAGCTGGACAGGGGACAGATTGTATTTGTCTTCAGTGTGGAAGGGATTGTCACTCTCAAATTGGCCTTCTCAGACACACTAGATGCTGTTCCAAGTCCTCTATTCAGAGCATGTTACTATAGTCTCTCGAGCCTGAAGGATGCCTAATCTAATACTGCCAGGTCTGATGATGAATGTGCATGTCATTTAGTATCCAAACCCAGTTGAAAAGCATGGACGTTGTCACTATATACCGTATTTTCCATGTATAAGACTATACTTTTGTCTAAAATCTTTAGACAAAAAAATTGAGGGTCGTCTTATACATGGAAGTAAGCCGAGGAGAGAGAAAACAATTGGAGGGGAAAGCACATGGAAGTAAGCCGAGGAGAGAAAACAATTGGAGGGGAAAGCAGGGGTCAATGCGATCCTGCAGTGTTTTGATCCCTTTCCCCCTACACTTGCTAAGCCCCACTTAGATTTCTTAATTTTGGGTTAGAAAATTTGGGGGTGTCTTATACACGGAAAATTATGGTATGTAATTTCCTTTACAGAAATTCCTTCTGCTTAGGAACGTGTGTCTTGTCTGCAGTGCCTCTAACTTTGGCTCCCCAAATAAGCGCTTTTTGCTGCATCAGGTCCTTGTCTCCCATTCTTTGTTGCCTGGTTGATTAAGTGTGAACATACCACTGACCTGCCTCTCCTTGTTCCCCGCATCCCATCCCCAAGTTCAGCTTCCTTTTGGTAGTACAAAAAGGTCTCCAGCTTGATCAGCCGTTTCCCTCTTTCTTCTGCTAGGTGAAGGTGCTAAAGTGCATCTCAGAGGTGGATCCTAACAACGTGGTGCTTGGCCAGTATGTGGGGGATCCGAGTGGCAAAGGGGAAGCTCAGAAGGGCTATCTGGAGGACCCCACGGTCCCAGCTGGCTCCACCACACCCACTTTTGCTACAGCAGTGGTCTATGTGGATAACGAAAGGTGGGATGGTGAGTACAGCAGGGTTCTGGGGTGGGACTCATCTGGGTGTCCTCAACTGGGGGTGCCATGCCTATTGTGGTGGAAGAGAGCATCTGGTTCCCTTTTCAGCCCCAAGCTGCCTCTAAACTCTTGCCTTTCTGGCCTCCCCTGTCTAGGAGTGCCATTCATCTTACGCTGTGGCAAGGCACTCAATGAGCGCAAGGCAGAGGTGCGGTTGCAATTCCGGGAGGTGCCGGGCGACATCTTCAATCGCCAATGCAAACGCAATGAGCTGGTGATCCGCGTACAGCCCAACGAGGCTGTCTACACTAAGATGATGACCAAGAAACCTGGCATGTTCTTCAACCCAGAAGAATCAGAACTGGATCTCACTTATGGCAACCGTTACAAGGTACCATTACAGTGCTCTTGCTGATGTGCCATGGAAGCTCCAGCTTCTGTGCTAAGGAACCAAGTTGCTTAAAGATACACACACAAGAATCCTGTGCCTGTTTGATCAGCTGTAAAACCTTGACTCTTCTGACTAGCAGCTTGGAACAATGTGGGTGGCTGGTAGAAGGTGACAAGGATAGGAGTGGTGGTTGATAGACAGAGAGGCATAGCTGGCAGAGACTTCCAAGAGAAAGTCTGGAAGGTTCAGGATCCAGGGAGGGTTTGTTAGTCTGCTAGAAGCTGGGGGCGGGGAGTAGGTATCAAATGCCTGGCTGCCCTTTATATTTACTCATTTAGAATTGATTGTGTGACTGTTAAAAATATTATCTTTGAGATGTATAGAGGTTCTGCACCTGGTGTTTGGTTTGATATGAGTCTTTGATGTGTGCAAACCATCACGTGGCGTCATATGTAAGATGTAGTGGACATGTCTGTGGGTCCAAGCAGCTGATACACTCAGGCTTCTTAGTATCTGTCATGTTCTGCTTGAAGGGGGTCCTGTGTTCTTCTTGAATCCTTTCTCCCCTGCTAGAAGAAACCTAAGAGCCAGGTTCTCCTTCTTGCAGGGCATCCGGTGCTCTCATCCTTTTGTCTCTACCCCCTTTTCACAGGATGTGAAGCTCCCAGATGCCTATGAGCGCCTCATCTTGGATGTTTTCTGTGGGAGCCAGATGCATTTTGTGCGCAGGTGTGTGCTGGGGTGTGTTTAAGGCTCCCCTGGGAAAGGAGGTGAGATCAAGGCAACAAAAGGAAACACTGGGTGTGGGGGCTGGGGGAAGAAAGTCCTTGCCAAATCCTAAATAGGAGCTGAAATACCTATCGATCCGTTTGGAAAAGTTCCTTTAAAAAAAAAAAACAACATACCTCTGGGAATTCTCCCACCTGCCAGACCACCAGTTGGGTTGAATAACTTCCAGTATTTCATGTGGACCACCAATCATCATAACACAGTGAAGACAAAAGAATTGGAGGCCCCTAGTTTTGTACTCAATAATCCCCTTTTCATTGAGGCCACAAGGCTGTTGGCAGTCCAAAAAAAAAAGCTGACAACATACCTATACAAATCTCTCACCAGAAAAAAAAACCCACCTTCTGTTTTAAATCTTTGAACGACTCCCCAAGATTGACGTGGGGGAAAGCAATCAGGGAATAATCAGAGGCCACTTCAGCCCTCCCTGAGCTGGCAGTAGACTTTCTTACTGCCTGTTCCTTCAGACTCAGCCTAACTTTGGCCTTCTCTTCTCAGTGATGAGCTCCGTGAAGCCTGGCGTATTTTCACTCCACTTCTCCACAAGATTGAGGGAGAGAAAACCAAACCAATTCCCTACCGCTATGGCAGGTGAGCTTGGAACAGATCTGTTGGTGGGTGAGTCTGAAACGCACGCAGGTGTCAAAGAGTAACAGGGAAGAGACTGTAAACCTGCTACACCGTTTATCAAGGGCAGATTGTCTGCCGATCCTGATCATGTGCAGACCGTTTTCCTTCCCCCCCTTTCTGCCTTTTGAGGCAGCCTAGCTTTCCTATAATAGAGCAATACTTTTCCCAAGCTGATGTACTGCTGTCCTAGCCTTCCTTGGGTCAGACCTTTCCATAGTTAGCTACTATAAATGCTATAGCCATGCCTGCTCTACAAAGTGAACAAACACAGCGGGCAACATTTTCCAGTGAGGACAGCAGTGGACATTCCCAGTTCTGTACCACTGGTGGTACTGGGAGATGTTGCAGCAGAGGTCTGATTGGATGGCTGGTCCCGATGTAGAGACAAACTAGGCAACTCAGTTGGCCTGGGGTGCCTAGCTCAGCAAGATTAACATCTCGGGAAAGGGAGTTCTTGCATGTATTTCTGCCTGTATCCGTGTCTATCCAAGGATGCCTATACAGGGGAAGTGGGAGTACAAGTGTATTAATAATGGGCTCCAAGACATCAGCATGAAGAAATATTTCATCCAGATAAACCATTGTGAAGCGTAATCTGATAATTCCATTTAACTAAAAATGCAAATAAGAAAACAGCATGTTGGTCAGTTCTTAATCTTTTATTGCACTTTCATTGTACTGTTGAGCCTATGTCAGGGTGGCAACATAACTGTATAGGTCCTAGGCTTTGGGTTGAGAAACAGCAGCCTAAGTGAGCCAGCGGACTTCTTACGCCCCTGCTTTCAGAACCACTGACCCGGAACCCTTCTGTTTTTCTAGCCGTGGCCCTCCAGATGCAGACGAGCTAATGAAGAAGGCTGGGTTCCAGTACGAAGGCACCTACCGTTGGGTCAACCCTCACAAGCTTTGAAGGCTGGGAGTCGCTGGTCTTGCCTGGAATTGTGACAGCAGTTGTGCTTTTTCTCCACTCCTCTCTGCAGAAACTGAGCTGGCCCAGCCGGGCACTGGGCCGTCCTGAAGGCTGCTTTTGAAAAAGTCACAGTCTTGCCTGTCTTGCTGAGCGCAGGCCTCTGTGTAGTCCCTTGGCACGGCCTGGACTCTGGTGGGGAGGGGAAGGCTGGCCATCTTCTCCTTGACCTTCATCCTCATGGTTCTGGCGCAGCACTATGCCTCTGTCGCTCAGCTCTTTCTGCAGTGCTGGCAGCTGATGGGAGACTCGGATATCCCTTTCCAAGCTCTGCCCAGGGTGGAGAAAGGCTACAGGGTTTTCCTTTCACCTCTTGCCTGTCTCTCCCCCCCCCCCTACATATGCTGCTCCTTCAATTGCACTAGCTCTGCTTTTGCTGCATTACTTGTTACATTCCTGTTCAGTCTGCTTCTGGACTTTGTATACAAAGCTGTGCTTTAAATGGAAGTTACTGTAAAGACTCCGCGGTCCTTGTCATTTCTTTGGAGGAGGCTAAACTTGACAGGTCTGGAGTTGACAAAACCACCACTGCCAGCAAGCAGGCATGGATTTTCAATGTGTGTTTTGGTTTGTTTGTTTTTTAGCAGCAGACTCCCAAAGTGGCATACGTTAGGCAGGAACACCAGTAAGAGTGAAGCAGGTTGTGAATCCGTAGAGTAAGGCCTCACCTCCTGTGCTGTTCCTTCTCTGCCAGGTGCAGTTGCTTAAAAGAAGGGCTGGGAGATGCCCCTTGTGCAGTTCGTGATGGAGGCACAGGCCTTGTCCCATATCCCTTTTAGAGCTGGGTGCTTGCCCTTTGGCTCAGGGATAGACACCTGGTCCTGTTGGGGACGTCCTTCTAAAGGGGCTTAGGCGGTGCCTCTCAGGTCCCTGTAGCCTCAGGATCGCACTGCCCTTCTGATCTGGCGGGGTTCTCCTTAGCAGGAACTTCCTAACGGATGGAGGCTGCCTGTTCGATGCCACGAGCAAAGAGATGAATGAGGCTCCCATGCACTCTTAAGGGGGAGAGAAGGCAGAGAAAGGGTTAGTAGGAGCGTTGCTGGATGAGGGACTGCACCGACCCTAAATCCACCCACTCCCTATCAGCCCTCCTAAAGCTAGCATCTTTGGCTCCTCCCCTGCCTGTCCTTCCACTAGACCACACTTCCGGGAAGACCCCAACCCTTTGCAGAGACCCAGCTAAACCCCTCGGGCCCTCTGAGGCCCTCTTGCCTGTTGCTTCCGGCATGGTTACAGCTCTGGTTCCTCACTGCTGCCACGATAGTGCTTGGGACCCATAAAATGACTTGAAAGGAGAGGCATGTAGGTCTGCATTCAAGGCTCTTCCCATGAGCTCCAGCTCCCCCTCTCCAGACACTCCTACTGGTGCCTCTGGCATTACAGCAAGAGGGATCTTTACCCCACCCACTTTGATATCCTACCTGATGCTGAGGTCAGCGTGGCTCACAGTCTCACCGTCACACGTCCAGCAGCTGACCGGTGGCTCCCCTTGGCATATTCCCCCACAGAGCCCCCTACGTTCTTGGGGAGCTGGCTCTCCCTCCTCATGGTCCTCCACTTTTGATGGAGTGAAACGAGCAGCCCGAACCCGGTACACACTCACAAACGGCAGATCAAACTAAGGAACACACAAATGAATGTTTCTTTAGCCTTGGCATCCCATTGGGTCTGCAGCTTTGTACATTTATCAAAATATTGGGGTGAAGAACCTTTAACCCTTGAAATCTAAACTCCCCACACAGCCCCTCACCAGTCACTGCTTTGGGTGAAGTTTGATGGGAGGTTTAGGCCAGCACATCTGTAGGGCCAAAGGTTCCCCCACTCCTCTTAGTCCAGGTGAGGAAAGGGCTACTGGAATGGGCTTCAATCTCCTGCTTTCCTATTCTGCTCAGGATAGCCTTGGAGTAGTCTAGACCGGTGATGGTGAACCTTTTTGAGCCCGAGTGCCCAAACTGCAACACAAAATCAACTTATTTATTTCAAAGTGCCAATACTGCAATTAAACCTGAATGCTGAGGTTTTAGCTTAGAAAAAACAACTGCTCCTGCACTGCAAGGGCTAAATGTTTGTGTTTTGGTTTTTTCCTATGGGGGGTATTAACAAAGAAATACTTACCGGTCCTCCGATCCCCCACTGGGCTAGACCAGTAATGGTCGCCATTGCACCCCTCTGCTGGACCACTGCAGCAGCAGAGGGGAGTGCCGAAATCCGGGATCGGAGGACGGGTAAGTATTTCTCTATGGTGACTTATGGCTCATGTGCCCACAGAGAGGGCTCTGTGTGCCAGCTGTGGCACGCGTGCCATAGGTTCGCCATCACTGGTCTTGACCAGGTCTCTAACTTGTAGACCAGGTCTCTAACTAGCAGCTGCTAAACTCAAGCCCTTTTCTCTGTGACTCTGTCATGTCAGTTGTGGTGGAGGGCTATGAAATATTTGCAACAAAACAAATTCAAATTGAAAGATAAAAGAGGGTGACCAGTATACACATCAGGAGTAAATCTGCCTGTTGTACAGTGCAGTCTGCATGCACACACATTCAAATGTGTGTGTGTGTTTAAAACTGTATGCATTTAATCAGAGTCATGATCAATGACACGACTTTGCAAAGTTTGATCCCAGCTGGAGAGGAATGGGAGGGACAAGGAAAGGGAGCCCTTCTGCTTTTGCAACACCTCTCATACCTGGTCTGAGCGGTTGGTGTGCCGACTTAGGTGCCTCAGGAAGGAGAACGTGGAGCATTCGTGCACCAAGATGAGGTCAGCGGTTCCATCAGCCAAATGAGCACAGGGGGAGAGACCCTCGGGACTCTTGGGGCAGGCGCTGCTCATGCTGGTCAAATTGACTGCTAGGAAACGGCCCTGGACCTGCTGCCAGTCACCATCTGTAGAAGGAGATTGGGGGGGGAGGGGGAGGCAAAAGGAGGGGCTTACCCTAGGTAGGTTTTGCTGCTCAACAGCTGCTCGGACCGTAGGCCCGGAATGCTTTTCAGGGGTATCAACCCCTGGAGGCTGTCAAATTCACTTTTGAAAAGCAAGGCCTACACCGTTCTTCCTTTTGCTCAAAACAAGTCGTTGCTTAGTCTCAACGTTCCTGCCCTTGCCCACTTACTAGAAATAAAGGCAGGCAGCAAATCTGGTATAAGGCCTACATATCATATTTTTCAGAGCAAGGAAGTCAAAAAGGAGAGACGACTGATACCTAGTTTGATTTCAACCTGCTTTTGCAGTCTCCCAGAGTGAAACCGTGAAAAATCGACACAAATATGGCACGATGCATACCATCCTTGCACTTTGTAAAAAAGCCCTTTGTTTTTTCAAAAAGGGCAAACAGACAGGTATTCAGCAAAGACAGCTTCTGCCTTAGGAATGGAAGACCTGACTATAATAAATTCCTGTCTCAGGTCTCCTAATAGGAATACGAACAATTTTCATAACGTGCACTTTCAAGCATCGGTAAGTATCTCAAGAAAGTTTGCGTGGCTGAAGGCATGGGTGGGGCCAGGGATGAATTTTCTGCCCCAGGAGCCTGCGGAGGTCACACAAAGTGCCAAAAGCACCAAGAAAACGCACACAAAACACCCTGGAGGCAGTTAGAAGTCCATTTCTAGTTCTGAAAAAAACATGTGGGTTGTGTGCATGTAAGGGAGAAAAAGAGAAATGGTGTGTAGAGGGGACCTGCAACTTATTGAAAAGGTGAATTCCCTGCTCCTGGGTGCATTTTCCAGGAATTGGAAGAAAGACTCGTGCCACAAAATTAGCCTGAGGAGGGGGGGGGTGTCTTTGTGACTCCAAGCCTGCCTTGTGCCCACACGGGGCCTCCTGTCTGAGAGAATGGGCCTCCTCTCTTGTCCTCTTCGTTCATGTCAGAGGCAATCCGCTGGTGCTTCCTGAGTGGAAGAATCAATCAAGGGAGAGTGCTGTCATCACCCTGGGGCAGTGGTCCCCAACCTTGGGCCTCCAGATGTTCTTGGACTTTATCTCCCAGAAATCCTGGCCAGGAGAGATGGTGATGAAGGCTTCTGGGAGTTGTAGTCTGTGAACATCTGGAGGCCCAAGGTTGGGGACCACTGCCCTGGGGGATGCGTGAAGGTGGTCACCATCCTCACATTCTTTGTGGAGACCCTCCGTGTCCTTTAAGTCAGGAGACCCCAACCCCTGGTCCGCAATCCAGCAGCAGTCCACGGCCTAGGCAGGACCAGACTGTGGACACAGATCTCCCCCTGCCAGCACACCACATGGATCCGCACGAATGTGACACCCCCCCCCGGCGAGCGTGACACACACCCCATGTGAGTGCGACACCCTCCAACTGGTCCATGGTTGGGAAAAGGTTGGGGGCCACTGCTTAGGTCATGGTGATGATACAACTCACCTGTTTCACATTCACACTCACAAGCTTCTTGTTGCAAGAACAGCACAACTGATCACAAGGACTTTTGTTGTGTCTCAGAAGAAGTAGGCTACAATCTATAAAAGCTCAGTCTTTAAACCTTTCACAAGAGCTTATTGTTTTTGCTGCAAAAGACTAACGTGGCCCGCCCCTGGAAATTTCAGGCAAAGGGTTTCAGACATTTGCAAGCCCCGTCTACAGACAGTTTACAACCACTATTTCTATTATCTTTCCAGTGGTGAGGATTAGAAACATGCTTTTAAAATTTTTTGAAAAGTTAAGTGGAAATTCTTGGGGAACATCTGCCCATTTAACAAGTATGCAACAAGCTGTGGCTGTAGGTGTAGCTTATGAGATGCGTATGAGCATATCAGACAAGGTCCGGATATGTATCAACGTCAGTACCATGACACACATCCTCATGTAGATATTTTTTAAAATCCACAGATTTGAAGGACAGCATTTTGCTTCAAAGAAAGCAACAGGGTTTGCATTTCCTGCCTGTATAACAGCATGCAATTCACAGATATAATGAAATCACTCAGTTATATAGTACATATGGTTCAGGTTCAAGAGGAGTGGAACTCAGAGGAAAGGAAAGGATATAGGATCCAGGACATGCGAGTTCTATCCTCTACTTCTTCAGCAACCTTTCCTCATCTATATGACTGGCCTGTGTTGATATACATAGGATAGCATATCTAGGAATTTGACCCAATCCTAGCCAATTAATTGTGCACTAATTTCAGTGTTTACATGGCTTACCTGTGTGGTTCTCTGACTCAGCCAGTGTTCCTTCGTTGCCTTCAGCTGACAGATGTTTGCTAGATTCTGAACAGACTAAACAGCTGGCAGGAAAAAAAATATACACTGTTGCTAGAACACTGTACTCCAGCCCTCCGCCCACAGTAAGCCTTGCCTTTCTGACCCTTCAGGCCCAGTTGTCAGTCTCCCTTCGACGTACCCTGACCGGCAGCGCTTCTGATCTCTTGGACTGGATTCCTGGGTCCTTGCCAGCTGGAACTCCACGGTACCTGCATAGCTGCGATTGCTTAGTACTGCCTTGGCTCCTGGAAGGGTTACAGTGAAAGGCTGGTAACTTGTGGGATCCACCTGGGTGGATCTGGGAAGATCTTGAAAATGAACGTGGAATCCCAAGAATCTTGGTTCTTTCCCAGCTCAAGAGTCTCTGTGTCCCCAGAAAAGGGGAAGCGTTAAAATTATATTATGGAAATTAGCCATCGAGCAAGCTTACTGTTCTAAACGATACCCTATAAATCAGTTTAGTGTACTTATATTTTCACAGGTCCTTTAGAAACTCCTGTGGGATTGTCTTGGTACAAATGATTCTCTGGTTATAAGGCAGTAAATCCCCACACACACATACACTATTGATTACTCCTCTCCTTGACCCTTAGGCCAAGCTGTCCACCAAGGAAGGGTATCTACAGCTGGACTGTATATTCATTGTGTACTCTCCCTCTCCATGGAGCTGGGCTTTCCAGCTCCAATGATGCAGCTTTCCCCAGCAGATTTCTAATGCACTCTACCTGCATAAGTGTAGCGCACTGGCCCCATCCAGCGATGCTTCTCACTGGCACGCACCACATCGCCATAGAAGCCGTAGCCAACCAATGAGACTGAGTAGCGAAGAAGCTTTCCAGCATGCCAAATGCTGCAAACATCTAGGGGCTGGCTGTCCCCTGGAAAACACAGAGAGAGGCTGATGAGGACCCAGAGATACTTTATTTTTTTTTAAGGGATGCCTCTTCCTACATGCAATGCAGCCCTCTTCCCCTGGAATGAGGAGAAGGCATTCACACTTACTCAAGGTATTCACATTTTCATTTCCCAGGAAAAAAACAGGAGCGCGACAGCAGAGGTCGGTGTAATCTAACCCTGTGAACTCATACAGTGCCTCCCATCTGTGTCCAGTCAATTACAAAAGGAGGTAGAAAAGTCTTTCTCTGATCTCCTTGCTACAGGGAAGTACACATGGGTCCTTGATTGACCAAAGCACGCCTCCCAGCTAGCCCAATTCAGTAGAAGGATGAGACCATCTACATTTTGGGCAGAATTGCCCATATCTGCCTCTAAAAAGAGAAGGAACTGCCATGGTCCAAGAAGGTACTGGATGCCTTCCCCCAAAATGTTGTGAGAGGCACCTCATGTGTTTAGCCCACAAGCTTCTCCTGAAACCCATCCTTGCAAAGTCCCAAGCTGAAGTAAGTGTCTCGGTCTCTCCAGAGCCGAATGCCCCAAACCCACTGAGTAAACAAGGGGAGAGAACATGGAGAATAAGCACCTATGACGATGTGCAGAGCAGAAGTGACAGGGTCATTTATTCCCACAGTTGCAAAACACACACAATCTGTAGAACCTAGAGGAGAAAAGGAAAATGATGTTGTCATCTGGCCGTCAAAAACCAGCTAGGATTCCTGCCTGATTTTCTCCCGAACTCACCCCCCCACACCCTTCCCAGACTTAGCAGGGGGAAATCTCAACCCAGTCCCAACCCTGTATTCATCTTAATTTCCCTGGACTTCACCATTACTTCGACTCATGGCCTTAGAAAGAAAGCCCCTTATCCTCACCAGCAGGTATGATGCCAATGCGCAGTCTGGGAGGAATAACCTCTGCATCAATGTCAGTGGCTTCCAAACCCCTCTCCTTTCTCTGGGTCCTGTCAATCAAGGCATGCATCACTTCACTGAATGTGCCATCGCCCCCAACACTCACCAGCCTGTGGAAGATGGAGAAATGAGACGGATTGGATGGAAACAGAGGCAGAGTTTTCTAGGTAGAGAATACTCAGAAGTGGCTTACCCTTCCCTTCTTCTGGGGGCGCCCTGGGTCTGTGCAGCTTGCCCAAGATCACACAGGCTGGCTCTGCTCACAGGAGGCACAGAGAGGCTTCAAATTCCCAACTTCTGGTTCCTTAGCCAGATACCTAGACCCCTGAGCTATCCAGCCAACGGAAACAGAGGCAGAGTTTTCTAGGTAGAGAATACTCAGAAGTGGCTTACCCTTCCCTTCTTCTGGGGGCGCCCTGGGTCTGTGCAGCTTGCCCAAGATCACACAGGCTGGCTCTGCTCACAGGAGGCACAGAGAGGCTTCAAATTCCCAACTTCTGGTTCCTTAGCCAGATACCTAGACCCCTAAGCTATCCAGCCAATTACTTTTCTGCTTGCAGAGTACTATATCACAGAGAATCACTCAGTCTAGACCGCCTTTGCACACCTTATTTTTCTCCATGCAGGGTGATTTTCATTGCTATTATAACCATCACCAGCAGCACTTATTTATACACATTTCTTGTCCACTTTTCTCCACTGAAAGGACTCAAAATGGGATAACTACTGATGGTGAATGACCTCCGAACTCAGGCACGAACCAGATCCAACCTGATTAGCATCTTGTCTGTGACACAGGGAGTAGAAAAAATTACACATCTATCCCAAATACCCCTTAGAGCTCAGAATGATGCCTATAGCACTCGCTACTTCAAGCTTCAAGATTTATATACAGTATTCTGTATAATTGGGAAATTTTATGAAAGAAAACTGGACAATCAGTCTTAAGTAAAATTCCCATGATTTGGCTTCCAAAAAGTTTGTAAATGGTTTCTAAGCAGTATCCCATGAAATTTAGTTTCCAAATAAAACTAGGGATGTCCATATTCCAGCAAGATGTGGGAGCAAAATGCAACCTCACATCAGCACATCACAATACCACCTTAAAACATGTACAAATTTGTCTGATTTTGGAAACTAGGCATGGCCTGGTCAACAACTGGATGTAAGATCCTCAGGTGATACCAGGGAAATCCAGGAAAGAATCCTATCTCAAGCCCTGGAGAGCCACTGTTACCAGACTTGGCGATGCTGGGCTAGAACATTGGGCTGGATGGGCCAGGGGACCCTCAGGTGATACCAGGGAAATCCAGGAAAAAATCCTACCTCAAGCCCTGGAGAGCCACTGTTACCAGCCAAGACTTGGCGGATGTTGGGCTAGAACATTGGTCTGGATGGGCCAAGGGATTGATTCAAGATAAGAGGGCTTCCTATGTGAGAATCTAGATCTAAAATATGCTATGGAAACCACCTTTCTAGCAGGCATCTGTTAATGCTATCAGAAGTACAAAACAGCATGCTTCCGTTTACAGAAATATTTCCTACACATAAAGTAATGTTTCCCCCTTGCATGTTTGCCTTATTTTATGCAAACATATATTTTTTCTTGCTCTATTTTTATACATGGCAGAATCAAGTAACAAAGTGGATTGCATACATTAGCAGTAAAGAGACAGAGTTTAACCAAAGCATTTGGAAAAAGCTAAATTTGTTGCCTGAGACTGGCTAGAGTCTGTAGAAGAAGAAATGGACTGGTTACCCCATTCCTCTGCCAATAGGTCACATGACTCATCTGAGTCACCTAAAGGCATATGGCCCAAGACCCTTTCTACGGCCCTTCTGATGCCTGCTAGTTACCAGATCAATCTTGGTTTTACAATGTGATCTAAGTGAGCAGGGCTGGTGGACCTTACAGGATCTTGAACCTGAGGCTTAAAGAACATGGAATACAGAAGCAGACAAACCCACAGGATGAGTTCCTTACCCATCAAAGTCAGAAAGATCTTGGTGCAGGATGCAATCACGAGCCTCATTTGCATGGCAGGTCTCTGAGAAGGTGAGGAGGTAATAGGAAAAAAATGTCATTTTTCTCATGACTGAGAAGAAAAGGGGGGGCTGTATAAAGAGCAAGGACAGAAGCCATGCCACTGGGAATGGGGCAGTGTAAGAAAATGGGAGACTTACCCACAACTTGAGCATAAATCCCACCGAGACGGAAGAGTGGGGCCACCTGACGTTGGTAGATCTCCACTGCTCGTTTTTGTCCTCCAACTGGATTGATGAAGACAAGGAGGCTCCTGGGCCGTGTTCTACCTAAAGCAGAGGGAGGGAAAATGTAGCAGCCCAACACAAGGAGTAATAATTGAGTAGTCAACAGGGCACTTGAGGAGCACTGTATTCAGGACATAAAGATACATCCTCCTGACTGTTTTGCCATTCAACACTTTCAGAGATAAATAATGATAATTAGGTGCTGTCAGATCAAACCCAATTTATGGCAACAATTTCCAGGGTTATCCAGCTATAGAGTACCCAAGAAGGGGTTTAATACTCCCTTCTCCTAAAGGGTGCTCTGAGTCTGTGCAGCTTGCCCAAGGCCACACAGGCTGGCTCTTCTCCTGAGATGGACAGGAGAACTCCTAAGGGCTGTCCCCACAGCAAGGCACTCAATTCAGGGAGCTATTCAGCCAGCACATGTTGGCTGAAATCCTGTTGTTTAATGTAGTAAGTCACCACAAGAGTAGGCCTATTAAATCCGTGGGGTTTTGGTAACTCCTCTGTGCCACTGATTCAGGAGGCTGATTCTAGCTGCAACTTACTACACTAAAGTAATAGGATGTTGTCTACCTCAGAAGTAGGGATGGAGAAAAAAAAAGTTGTTGCCTTTCTCTGCATCTTTGCTGTATTTTCACCCCTCCTTTGATTTGTATTAGACTGAGACATTTCAACATTTTTGCCCAATATGATAATTCTTATATATTTTTCCTAATGTATCCTCTTTTGAACACATTTTTTCAATTCAGAAATGTGTTTGGATATATTTTTCAATTGTGTATATCTTACTCATACCAGGTTTTTGTACGTACATGCCATTTTCTATGTATTCTATTTCTCTGAAATGCACAGCAAGCCTAAAAAATGCACAGATTTCCAAAACAAAATCCTCTTAGAATAAGTCCTGGGAGATACAAACTAAATACCCCTGATTCAAAATAAATTCTTTCCTGCCCTATTAATGCAGGGGCATAGAAGGAGTCTTCCCTAAGCGTGGAAAAGCATGGCAACTACACTCAGGCATCCCTTGGCCAAGGGTGTACAGCCAGCCAATCCTTCACTTCCAGAAGTGTTGCACAGCAAATTTGCTGAGGGGTATTATAACTACACTCAGGCATCCCTTGGCCAAGGGCGTACAGCTAGCCAATCATTCACTTCCAGAAGCATTGCACAGCAAATTTGCTGATGGGTATTAAAAGTTCAGAACCAAAGCTTGGAACATTACTTCAGAAAAGTAGTTTGCATGACTCATAAAACATTTATGTGGACATTATTGTTACAGTTACAGAAAAATATTTTTTTCCTTTTCTGGAAAAGTAGTTTGCATGACTCATAAAACATTTCTGTGGACATTACTGTTACAGTTACAGAAAAATAATATTTTTTTCTTTTCTGGAAATAAAAATAGTCTAATGACCTCGGAAGGATAGAAGGCTGAGTCAACCTTGAGCCAGCTACCTGGGATTGAACCCCAGGTCGTGAGCACAGTTTTGGCTGCAGTACAGCGGTTTAACCACTGCGCCACGAGGTTCCGTGAAAAATAGTCTAACAAGTAAGAAAATGGCATAAACATTTTTGAATCCCTAAGAATCTTCCCAAGAAAGAATTTTGTTCCACAATGGAAGGTGGAAAAAGTAAGGCATAAATATCAATTGTTACATTTAAAAAATAACAATAACAGTATTCATTGTATTATTTCAGGACATTCTTATCCATGTCAAATGTGTTATTATTTGTAACACATTACAGTGGTGCCTCACATAGCGATCGCTCCGTATAGCGATGAAATTGCTTTGCAATGGACTTTTTGCCATCGCAAAAGTGATCGCTTTGCGATGGTCCCTATGGGGAAATTTCGCTTTGCGATGATCGCAGGGAAGCGATCATCGCAAAGCCTTCATTTTCGGCCAGCTGATCGGCAGTTTCAAAATGGCAGCTGGGTAAACAAAATGGCCGTCCGCTGTGTTTCCTCGCTTAAGAGGCACCGAAAATGGCCGCCCCTATGGAGGATCTTTGCTTAAAGGTGAATTTTTAGCCCATAGGAATGCATTAATCGCGTTTTAATGCGTTTCTATGAGCTTTTTATTTTCGCTTAGCAATGTTATTGCTTAGCAGCGATTTTTTCTGCACGGATTAACATCGCTAAGCGAGGCACCACTGTACTTAAAAATGCAGTCCTGAGTATGTGAGGACAGTTCCATTTAGCTAGAATTCTGCAACATTGTGACAGACAGGGTTAATGAACTCAAGGATTTTCACTGCCAGTGTATTTTCAGTGTTGGACTTCATTTGAAACAAACCAAAACAAAGAATGCCCCCATCCCATGCACCCACCCATCCTATACCTTATACCCATGAAATTAGGAGGACCTCCACTGCTCTTTTCACAGGCTTTAAGCCTTGCTCATTCAGATGCTGCCTGCCTTCGCCATGGTAACCATGTCCTGCTCCTTAAGCTCTGGCTTAAATAAAAGCAGCATCTTTGATATAGATCTGGAAATTGAGTCATGGGTAGAGAAGGACTGCAGAAGTGGGATTTTCACTCACTTCCCCCATCCTTTGTCCACCTAACGAGCCTATTCAGACCAGGGGGAAAGGAAACCAATGTGGAGACTATATCAGGGGTCTCCTACAAATTCTCCTCAGACTGAAGAAACTACTTTGATGAGTAGCAAAACATTTCAACCCAACAAGAAAGAAGTCCAGTTGCCATGACTCAACTTCCAGATAACCTCACCTAGAGGACTGAGAATCTTCGCAGATACTTTGATATAGATGCCCTCACTATTTCCCACCCGGCTTCCCCTCCAGCGTGGTCTAGAAACTGACCGTGGTGATGAATCCAGATCTGCAAAGAATTTACCCAGCGGACGGCCAGCTGAGAGGCAGGTGGGGCAGTAAACTCCAGTGACCCCAGTCGCCAGCACTCTTGCTTCTCCCGCTGTACAAAGAACACTTGAAGAGAAGAGGAAAAAATAGGAATTAAGATGGTGATTCCGTGCACTGTCTCTCACTGATCCTCCCTCAGCCAACATTAGAAGTGAGAGACAAGGAACAGAAACAAGGAACAGACATTGCTTCAGAGTAATTAAATTAAACATCTCTGGCTAACAGACACTTCATTCTTTCGTATTTTGCACAAACATGTTTACCTTTTTTTCTACTCTACCACCATGAGGTCGAGGATTTAAATGAATGAACGATCAGTTTGTCAGGGGTTTATATATTGATAAGCAATCCACTGAACTAGAGAGTTGAAAGGACACCAATAGGACTTTTAGTTTAATAGCCCTTGACTAGGGACAGCATATTCCCCCCATTAACTACTTTTAGTAGTGGCTCAGCATTTCGTGTTTCAAATACTATAAAGGATGATGTCGTAGCTTCCTCTGGGAAAGTATCCCACCGTTTTGAAATTGTGCCCAAGATTTATTTTTACTATTTGACCTTTGATGCCACATTTTACGTTCTGTAGCATCATGGGAATTGATCAGACACAAGCTCCCCGTTTCAAGCCATTCTACTCACCAGTAAAACAGTTTTCATTGATGGAAGGGCCCACAACCTCTTTTCCATTACTGGCTGCGCCAAGCCTCACGGCAACCATCTCCTGCATGGGAATGCAGAATTCCTGACCTGGGAGAGAGAGAGAGAGAGAGAGAAAGGGGGAGAGGACTTCAAAAGTTCTGGTCTGCAAACAGGTTTTTATCAAAGGACATACTCTGAATGAAGATGAATGTGTTACAAACATGCTTGATTTGTCTTCTGAATCATTCTCACAGAACCCAGGTACAAGCAAAGTGTTTCTGAGCCGGTATATCCTTCGAACCACCCCCATTTCCCCTTGGATCTCTCTGCTGCTTCCTCGTTTGCCTATATTTTATTGATATGCAACTGTGAGCAGCAGGTTAAAGCTATGCAGGGAGACCTCTGCTTCTCTTCACACTGAGGGAAAGGGGCAAGAAAACCTTTGTTCAGGGAGGGCGGGAAGTCTGGAAACGTATGATGTGTATTTTGTGGTGCAGAGGCTTAGACTTGGGCAGGAATCCTCAGTGTGTGTGGGAACCCTCACCACAACTGCCCTGTGGACCCAAACCACAACACTACTTGAAAGGAGACAGTAAGTTATGTGAAAGGTGCCACTCCTTTTTGTCACAACAAGAAGAGAAACAAGCCACAGCACCTGGGAGAGGAGCTTCATGGTGCCAGTAGCTGGCACCAGACCTGTGGAGTTCACAGAGAAGCTGGTCGTCATTTTGAGGCAAATGCCTAATGTGCTGTTTCAGGATCTTTTTAAGGAAAAAAAGGTGGGATAAAAATATTTTAAATAAATAAAAATGTCAACTTCACATAAGTGTGTGTGGGCCTGCTCCAATCCTGGAGAACTATGCATGGGTGGGTATGCTTTAAACTTTCATTTTCACCTGGTTTTTATTTCAAAATCCTACCTGTTTAATAAATAAATAAATAAATAAATAAATAAATAAATAAATAAATAAATCATCATCATCATCATCATCATCATCATCATCATCATCATCATCATCATCATCATCATCGTCGTGTGCTGTCAAGTCAATTCTGACTTATGGTGACCCCTTTTCAACATTTCCCTTTCAGAGAATACTCAGAAGTGGTTTACCATTCACTTCTTCTGCATAGTCCCAGGGTGACACAGGCTGGCTCTACTCGCAGGAGGCACACTGGAGAATCGAATTCCCAACCTCAGGCTCAGCCGCCCCGCCAGATGTCTAAACCACTGAACTATAACAAGGAGCTTTAAAATGGGAACAAAGAAAACCTCAAGTGGCGCCAAGAAGAATCTCCCATTTTTTTAGTGGAAGTGCTGGGACGAAGATTTTCAAGCCCCCTCCCCAGTTCCAATCTAGATTTGGTTGCCACGTCTCAAGGGTACTAGCTGAAGTCTCAGTGAATTGCTGTTAATTACTTCTCAAATCTCTAGACCAAGAGTCAAATCTCAGGGTGAGCAGCCCTGGGAGAAGAGGTAGCTTGATTTTTGTATGGGAGGTGACTTTAAGGCCTGAAGCTTCTTTTCCTCCAAGGGGTGCCAGCGATTACTGGTTCAGTGTGAAAGTGTGTTTTGTTCCATAAAGACATGATTGGCCCGAGTGCATGCACCAGCTTGTCCTCTTTCCAGGTTCCTCCTCTCCTCTCCAGTCATTCAAAGCTCTTTGGCACCATCATGCCCTCTGAAAGAGGTAAGGCAGTGAAATCCCAGGACCTTAACTTCTGATCCTTCTTGTTGCAGCCTCCTGGCATAGGGGTTAAATGGCTGTAGTGCAGCCAAAACTACTGTGCTTATGACCCCAGGTTCAATCCCAGGGAGCCGGCTCAAGGTTGATCCTTCCAAGGTCAGTAAAATGAGTACCCAGCTTGGGGGTGGGCTTCAATGTGTAGCCTGCATAATTCACTTATAAACCACCCAGAGAGTGCTTGAAGCACTATGGGGCAGTATATAAGCAGCATGCTTTGCTTTCTGCACAAGCGCTGGCAGCAGTAGTGCAAAGTTTGGATGGGGAGGGGGGGAAACAATCTCCCTTCCCAACCCTTGCTTGCCCTGATAGCACAAGGGTCTCCGCTCTTGGCTCTAACTTCAGGACAACAGGATGCTGATGACCTAGCACCATAGGTCTAGGTCAGATCAGCCCATGCTTACTTGAAGTTGACAGGATAAAGAGATGGGATACATTTAACCTAACCTGTAGTTAGGTTTTTGCTCCTTTCCAACCTCAGGCCTCTTTGCCTAATGCTTACACAACCCCCTTTTCTGAGGACATGAAACTGTTTCCCACACTAAATATTGCAATGCCTTGTGAAGATCAGGCTGCACCTAAAAGCTGGGTTTTCTCAGGCTGAGGCTTCCCCCTTTTTGGGGGGGAGGGGGCTCTGGCAGTGATCTCTATGTGGCACCTCCTAGGCCTTCAGGGATTCTCTGCATTATTATTTCTGCCTCTGTAACAATGAGCATAATCTTAGAACTGAAGAGCTAGAAGGAACCCTATGGATTATCGAGTCCAATTCCTGTCAATGAGACATAGTGAGGAGTCAAACTCCCAACCTCTCTGTAGCCAGATATCTAAACCACTGAGCTATCCCCTGACTGATCTGTCAGGTTTCTGCTTCCAGAAGCCCCAGATGGTGGTATGTGCAGTACTGGATACATATTAGCAGAAACCTCAAGGTACTATGCTGAAGAATTTATATGTCTTCTTTCCCTCCAGCATGCCATCTGGGGCCCTACATGCCTGACAGCCAAGGGCTAATACTGGGTTGCAGTCTTCAGCCAGTACTCAATGTTGTGTACACTCAAGTCAAGACAATCCACTACACAGTGAGGTGAACTGGTGACATCTAACAGTGAAAACACTTGGTAGATCAGGTAAAGTATCCCTCACCTCTAAGATACAGTGTGATTGACAAGGAAAGGTAAAGACAATAGAAAAATTTCTAAAGCAAAGCAGTAGGTAGTTCTGATGTTTTGGGTCTTTCTCCTCACCTGGATAACGTGTTACTTCAGCTGAGGCTGATTAGAAAGAGGCTAAAACCCTAATGCTTTCAGTCAGACTCTGCCGTTTGGTAACTCTATTTATCAGTGTCTCTGCTTGTTTGGAAGCAAAATCATGTGGTGGAAAGAAATTCATGTTGATCTGATCATTCAAGGAAAAAAAATCAAATCTATGAAAGAGCACAGCATGTCCTGTCCTGTCTTTTCCTTCCCTCTCCTTTGTCTTCTTTTCTACATCCTTTATTTTATACAAAATTTGGAATCTGGACATGCAGTGCTCCCAGAACTTAGCATTTTATAATTCTAGAAAACTGAGGAGAAATATGGCAATTCCGGACAGGTGGCTCTTACTAAAGACCCATGAAGTGTTGAACAACTTGCATCTTCTCAGACCATATAAATGATGTCATGACCACATCTTGACCTTAAGAACTCCTCAAGTAGAATAATTAGTGACTTGTTGTGTGACACACCCCCCCTTTGCTGCAGGGCGAAGCTGATACGATGGAAACCATGTCGAAATCACCATATCCTTCCTGACCTCCAGTCCCCATTAAGGAAGACAAACACTCCCACTCATTCCTTCTGAGCTCTCTTGACAGATTTGCAGCAGAGCAGCTGAGCCTGAAGGGAAATTAAACGTGCTGAAGCAACATGCTTTGGGGTCAACTGAGCTCCAGCCTCTGCCTCACAAACTCTTAAGTGGTTGTCAAACTCGACCACAGTGGCAGATGACCACCTTGTCTCTCCTGACACCACTTCTTCAGAGAAGAAAGAGCAGATGGCCTGATGCTCCTAGAAGACAGGGGAAGCCAAAAGACCCCAAGAAGCATGCCATGGAAGAGGCAAGAGACATCAGAAAAAGTCACTTGTTTGGACTCTAATTCCCAGAAATTCCACCCATGGCTATGTTGGTTGGGTGTGTGTGCTGGGACAGTGGTTCCCAACCTTGGGCCCCCAAATGATCTTGGACTTCAACTCCCAGAAATCTTGGCCAGCAGAGGTGGCGGTGAAGGCTTCTGGGAGTTGTAGTCCAAGAACATCTGGAGGCCCAAGGTTGGGGAACCACTGTGCTGGGAGGTGTAGTTCAAAAATCCCAATTTCCCTAAACTCTGAAAAATAACAGACAGCCTTCTTTCACAAAGACTTTTGATAATGTGATTATCAGTAGTACAGATGAGGTTTATTTATTTGTTTTTACAAAAAGAGGATTTGACAGATTCAGACTTGATTGATCTAAAATTGGTTCCTAGGAAGAACAGGGATAGGATAACCCCAAACCTACCTACCTCTGTCAGTAGTTTTGCAGAAAAAGAAAAGAATTCATTGCCCCAAGAGAAAATACTTGCTTTGGAAAAATAGAAAGTTCAAAGGAGGTTTTCAAAATTGGAGGGGTGAGCAGAACAGGCCTCTCCAAATTCCCAGCCCTGTTAGGTCAATGTTGGAAAGCCAGAAGATCTGCTACAGCAAGCAGAACAGGCCACTTCAACTTCCCAGTCCTGTTAGACCAATGAAATTATCTTTCTCTGTCAGTGAAAACAGACTTGCTCATTCTGCCCAGAAGTGAAAAAAATAGTTGATGCCAGGAGGTTGGTGGCACCTGTATTGCCAGACGGCAGCCCTAGAATCTTGACCTGCAACTCTCACGGTGAACCTCCTGGCTTGCCCTTTAGCGCCACTGCAGCAAAGATACAAAGCGGAAAAGAGCGATTTCAGAGGGAGCCAAAGGTTATTGTGAACAAACAACTGCCAGCAAAGAGACACGTACACACACACAGAGGGATAGAGAGAGAGACACGCACACATGCATTATATTTGTTATTGGTAGTCACATCCATAAAAGTGTTAGCCACAGCACTATGGGTTCTCTTTATAGACACACCCAAATATAGGTTACGGTCTTATCTTTTCTAGCCAATTTGTTATGTTCATATCTCGCTTTTCCTCCAGGGAACTCGAGATGGTATACCTGGCTCTTTTTCTTGCCACTTCATCATGTAACAACTCCATGAGTTTAGCCAATCTGGGTTTCAAGACCCAGTAAAATTTGAACCTGGATCTCCCAGTTCACCGTCCAGCACACTAACTACTACGACACACTGGCTACCCT